AAACGTTAACTGACCCCCAGGCCCCAAGCCCTAAACCTCAGACCCTGGACTCATCGCTTCTACCGCTCGCTTCTACAGTTCTAAACCTTAACATCTAGGCTCTAAAGCACTAGCACTAAGCGTTAAACCATTACACTGTCAACGCTAAACCTCTAAACTCTCCCTTCTAAATCCCAAAACTCAGGACTCTAGACCCTAAATCCCTGAACCCCTACAAACTCCAAGCCACCTGGACTGCTAGGCAAAGCAGTACTGCTTCTGCTGGAGGCATAGCTTTTGAGGAGACCTTCATCTATTGTTCTAAGGATTAAAGAGGTTTAGAGGTTTTGGGGTTCGGGGGTTTGGGCGGGTGTGGGGGGTCTTACAGTTTAGGAATTCGAGTTTAACTTCATGACTCCGTGAACCTCTAAGTAGGGTTTCTAGCTTTTAAAGGACTGTTCAAAGGTCTTTGCAGGGATGATGTAAGGCCTTACAATAGTTTTGTTTCGCTTTATGCACGGGGGTTTGAAACAGTCAGGGGTCCCTTTTGGGATACCTATACTGATTAGTTGGCCCGCATCCTTTTCCACACAAGACAACTTTCGGATCCCAGGATTCCATCAAAGTCGTGACTCAACCCTTAAACCCTAAGCCCTCAACCCTAAACCGAAGGCGGATGGGTCTGCAGTCTGTAACTTGCTGGTGTTTAAGGGGATGTGGGGGAGTGAATATCGGCAATATAATGTGGGCGTATATATATATATATTATGAAGACAATTTTGAGATAGTGCTCCACTCCCCCACTCGTGCTCAAACCCCAATTTTAGGGTCTAAGGCTGAGCACTTCATGTTGATGATCTATGTGTCAGGCCTAGCACGTAGGTAGAGTGCAGGGGTTGAGCCTCGGGCCCTAGGCCGTAAACCCTAAACGCTGAAGATTCCGTATCTACGATGCAAGGCTTCTCGGCGATATCAGAAGCAAAGACGGAGTTCGCAGGAACTGGCACACCAAGATAAATAGCAGGAAGGTCTAGGCTTGAAACATCAGAGGGGTGGGTTGAGGCATAATTAAGAGGGATATGTGAGCTATAGTCTAAACTCCCAGTATCCCCATTAGCAACCCTAGAAAGGTCCCCCATATAATCCCCTATACAACCCCCTTTAAGGAATTGAGACGATGGCTCATGTGTAGGGCTTGGGTTCTAGGCCGTCACAGCCTCATGAAGCTGATAAACTTGTGCCAGACGTGGAAGTATATTATCACTCGCCACTACCCAGCAGAAATCAACACCAAATTCATGGCTCGCTGTTCATCCTGCCAAGCTCGGCTCATGGCATAGTTCCCCTCAACCCCAAAACCCTTCAATAGAAGATAGAATTTGGAATGCCCCGAAACTATGGAGATCACCATCTACCCTATATTCTATCTGAGCCATAGTCTAAACGCCTTAAATGGCATTCTGCAGGCGATTATATGGGGGACTACTGTAGGGCACTATAGGGGTCATTAAGGGGGATACGAGGAGTTTTGACTATGGCTCATCTACTTTAGGGGGACTATTCCTTAAGAACTGCTTTGCTTCGAAGGTCTGACTGGATGACACGGGTAGAGCAGCAGTAGAGGGGCGCAAAACTTAAAAACTTGCTACGAGCAGGAAAGGAACCTGGATCTTACCCTACACCCTAAACCCCGGAACTTCGCCTGACCCCCGCCCCGGTCGACTACCTTGCGAAGCCGTCTTGCACGTAAAACCATGCAGACCATTTACGAGCTTGTCGAAGTCAAGGCCCTCTCTATACCCTCTGAAATACAAGGTCTTGATTCGAAAGAACTGAAAAGGGGGGCCCACCTTTTTCAGAACCCCTCTCCGCCTTGAGAAAGAAACCTGATTCAAAAGACCAAGTAGCTCATGTTCATGGCGCCAGCACTTGGGATCTCACTCCTGCACGGGGAAGTCGGCACTTCGAAATTGGGTTTCCCTGCTAGTCCGCAACCTGAAGATGATCAGATACTTATTTGATATTGTGTCGTGGTAGGGGGGTTAGTACTGGGTGGAAAGAAATTGCTAGGGCTGTGAGCTAACGCTTAGGGGATGAAAGCCAGCAGAATGAGACTGCAAAGGCTTGTGCTCATGAGTCCTACAATCTGTGCGACCGAGTATTGGACTTGTACCGAGTAGTTTGGGAGTGCTGCCTCAAACTGATCCTCATCCTGCTTCTACCATCATCATCATCATCAGCATCATCAGCGTCAGCGAACACTTATAGATTGTAGCCATGGAAATAGGTGCGCCGACGGCAGCAGCACAGGCGTCACTAGCACTGGAACTACCTCAAGCGCTAGCAGTAGCAGCCATACAAGCAGCAGGAGGTAGACTTTGTTGCCATTGTCGGAACAGTAGCAAAAAAAGGAGACATAACAGCAAGACTGAGCCTCGTTTGCATGGACTTGCCACTTCGTTATGTGCTTGAAACGTCTAGAAGCAAAACATGGTAAAGGAAAGAACCTGCCCACTTCTTCCCCTTCAGCCATCCCAAAACCTATAAACCAGACGCCTGAAGTTGCTATTCAGGGCTGATCCACCGCCCACTGCAGGGTGCGTGCTCAATGGACAACATGGCATAGTCCTATGAGACTCCCAGCACAATATAACCCCTATAGAGCCCTATATAATATAGTAGTTTCCATTTTATTTTCCAGTATCCCAATCTTATCCCAATATAAGATCGTAGTTTCCATCTTATTTTCCACTATCCCAATATAACCACCACCACAGTTTGCAAGGAGCTCCTAGATGCTTGGCTCAAAGTCCTGGCCAGCTGAAAGCTGAGCTTCATTCTGACCCTTAACAGTTAGGGTGTATCTGGAACATGTGAGCTATAGTCTAAACTCCTAGTATCCCCCCTTAATAACCGCGATAATAGTCCCCTATATACTCCCCTTTAAGGAGTTTAGACTATGGCTTACGTGGTACTAAAATTCTATTGGCATCCCCCCCGGTTTACTAGTGCAATGGCGGCACGCCGCCAGTGTTTCATGTTGGGGGTATAGGTTAAGTGGACCCCCCACCCAGACTTTTATAGGGTGGGGGTCCTCTTGAGGTATAGGGTGCGAAGGTTGCTCTGGAAAGTTCACATCTAATACAGCAAGCGAGGTCTTGTAGATTGCAAGCAGCTTGACCTTGAGGCAACCGACAGTTTGAAGGGAATTCTTGCCTCAAGAAATAGAAGGGCCTCAGCACATGTTCTAAGGGCGTTCTATCAAAATCCGGAATTCTGGGAGGGCTCCACTCGCATCTCGCACCCGGATGGCTGGCTGCGATCCTTTCTGAGCCACACGTTAGCTCTATTTACCAAGTCAAGGCTGTAGAGCGCAGGACGCAAGTAGTGTAAAGCAGGGGTCCTCACGAGTCCCAGGCGCTTCTTACACAGGAACTTCAGGGCTGAGGGCTCAGGGTCATTTAGGGCTTGGAACCTGGGGGCCCAAATAGAACGCAATTTAGACACGTATAAGCGGGAATATGCATGACATCTTCGTATGGCAATTTCAGAACATGGGTGGTCCATTCTGTTGGGCGGTGCTCAAGTTGAGACATCCCTATACTTAGGGCTTCCACATCGGCGCCCCTCTTTTTTAGAAACTGCATGCAGACTACTCGTGGCTGAAATCGTAAGAAAGAATCTGCTCGGGTATGCAAAAGTGACTCTTTGTAGGGACCTGCGGGATCCCATTGTAATCTGTTTAATTCTGTTTATGCACCTACATGGAGCCCCCAGGGTGCCGGAAGGTATTCCTTTCCAGAGACGCCCCCATATCAATTGCGTCTGCTCGGCCGACCGGCCACACAGGCTGTTTCTGTGTCATGTGGCAGCCCACTGTCCAAGCCCGAACCATCGATGATGTTATTCCTTGCTATCTCTGAACAAACTGAGCAAAAACTCTACCCAAGCCGCTCCGATTCTTTTGGCCTGCGTTTTGTTGCCGGGTTTATGTTCTCCGTTGGACTTATACATTGGAGCTTCTGGCTTTCGTCATTGAGTTGTCTAAGGTTTAGGGGCAATCCACCTTGATAGCTCTGGGTTCGCACTCGATTTGACTAACAGTTAAGAAGGAATTTTGAGTATTCTTCGCTAAGTATGTCTAGACTGAGCCATCGCTGCGGCCGTGCATTTCAACTTTTGCCATTAGGGAATGGAGGAATGGAATGGATCTCCGTTGTAGCCGCTATGTACTCCCCGATGATATGATAAGTTCCATGTTCTTGCCCATACCTCGGTTAGTAGCAAGTCTTTCTTTGTTTTCTTCACAAACGCATTCCGCAACAACCCCTTCGAACGGAAAAGCCCCCATTCAAGCCAGCCAAACACTTCCTGAGAGCCGCACGTTGCTTCGCCGCCGTCGCTGCCACTCAGGAAGCTGGTGTGGCCTCACAGGAAACTGCCTCTGCCAACAATAGCCCTCCACACAAGAATATTCCTCAAACGTCATGTAACTGCCTCAGGAACATGTACTGGGATGTTGCGGGATTTATCTCTCGAACATCGCGGCCCAGTCGGAATTGCCTATGAACATCTAAAGAAGGAGCAGAAAACAAAAGAGGCACGCTCGTCACTTCCTGGTCTCACCAGGAGCTTTTGGCTCCGGGCTTTGGGGATTTAGGGTTGGGGTAGTTCATTGCTTTGGGCTTCGGGCTTCAGGAAAATTTGTGTTGACGCACCACTTTGCAGCCTCACATCATTTGCACGGGGACCTCACGTCGGAAAAGTTGTGGTGAGAGGCACAAGATTGCCACGAAAGCTAGCAAGTACCGTCCTTTATTAATCTATTGAGTCCGCTGAAGGGAGGAATACCACCTCCATGCAGCAATCTCTCACGCTCTGAGCTATGCTCGCGCACTTTTTGATCTCAGATGCCCCAGCGTCTCTGGCGGGCCGATGCTGTTCCCGGAGATTGGACTTGCCACAGTGTTTCCATTGTCTTGGAATTCCGATAGCAACAGCTGTGGAAGCATCTTCGAGGCTCAGCCTCCGCCTCCCAAAGCAGATTGCAGCAAAAGAACAATCTCTTGGCGGCCGTTCTCCACCGCCTTGTCCATGGGCGTCGAACCATCGAGTGTCCTCTGGCCACTTGGCGCCCTGGCCTGGATTTGTTTCTGGGCTTCCCAAAATCAGGGTACCTTTCTGTGGGTCCCTATAAGAAGGACGATAGTGCTTGGGATCTTTTTGTTGAACTCTTAGGTGTTCCTTGCCGTAGCTGCACGGGGAAGAGGAAGAACAAGTCCAGGTGTTTGTCGGCTAGTGCCAGCGTAAAAAAAGACACAGGATCCTTTTCTGGGGTTCCCTTATAAAAAGGGAATATGTATATACATATATACACGTATATAGATGCTTACAACTTTCAAGCAGAAGACAGGGGCCTCCAACAAAACCTGCACCACCTCAAGCTGGCCGGCAGCAGCAGCGCAGTGCAGCGGTCTCACGCCTGACCCCGGCCACTAGTTTTCGCCTAAGCTGATAAGTTGAAACCCTGAAACCCTGCAGCGCAACACTTTTTTCGGGTGCTTTTTGGGCTCTCTACTCATGTATTGCCTGTGGCGTCCACAACCGCAGGAGAAGCCCCCGCACTGAGAAATGCGCAAACCATTTCGCCGTTGCCTTTCCTGGGTGTCAGGTTTTGGAATTAGGGTTTAGGGTTTNNTTAGGGTTTAGGGCTCAGGCTAGGGTCAAAATATGGGCAGCTCCTTCCTTCTGCACCCCCTCTTTGATGTTGCCCCTGCCCCTGTTGCCAATAACTGAAAAAATCTTCTGAAATTAGAATTGTTCTTTCAAGATCAAGAACTCTATGAGAGAGAGTTTTCTCATTTCCATTGACTGTCTCCAAAGAAGTAGGAAATACGGACGATTCCAACATTTCGAGGGTAGTCGGTTTGAGTTGGTTTCGGGAATACTTGCGACCAAAGATTTGATGCCAGTGACGAGGTTTTGTATGAGATTGAGCCTTAGAAGCATCCATAAAAACCGCAAAAACTATCTCCTATGAGTGGATGCTCACATTCTGTCTTACTTACTATGGAAGGATCCCAGTTGCATGAAAAATCTTTTTGACAAATAGATTCGCCCATTTGACAATTATCTTTCATACATTGGTCATAAACCTCATCAGCAGATGGTCCTCGACATTCGTGACAGCTCCTTCACCATTTGGATCAAATTGTGGATCTGCAGATCCAGAACCGGCAAGGGATGAGTGACTAAATTCACCTATATCCATATGTTGGATTAAAAAACGTAGATAAGTACATACCTGTATTTTTTCAAAAACTGTGTGCGGATCGCACTCAAACAAACTGCGTAAGTTTCAGCCGCTGGGTATGCATG